TGATTCGGTTTCTTAATTGGTTTAATTTTTGCCTAAACATGATCATACCTAAAAGCATATTATTATTGTTAATTCTAAATATTTATAATCATACTTGTTGCTATTTTCACAAATTGGGTTACAATTATTCCATATCTTATTTTTATTGGTCATTTTGAGCTCTTTTTGGCTGGAATTATGGGTCGTCTTGTTCGGACCTTTACATTTCTTAATCGACGAATTATCACTTGAAGGGACAAATTGGAGATTATTTGGATCGTTTTAGGATATTCACTCCCTATTTGTGAATTGTGTGAGAATACATGTGGTTAATTGCAACATTTTCTTTTAGGTACTATGCCAAGGGGAAGGGGAAGGCGTGTGATAACTTCATCCTCTAGTAGTGAGGAGAGGGAAGTTAATGAGGAGATGGAGGTGACTGAGGAGGAGAATTCACCTTCTCCTCCACCAGTTAACCGTCGACCTGGTGAGGGCACCTCCCGTGGAGCGGAAAATTCGGTATATGACAATGCTAGGTTCAACACTCGCCGGAATCAGGAGTGGCATGAGGCGCGTGCTAATTTGGAGTTTTTGTTCGAGATGCACGTCAGTCCACCAGTTGAGTTGATGTACAACATCTCAGATTCTTTTGCTCAGCTAGGATGGGCTCCGATTCTAGTCCTACCAAACTATTACTACCCCGACTTGGTGCGCGAGTTTTATGCCAACATTGAAAGTAAGGCGTGCCATAGTGGAGAAATAGTTGAGTCCTGGGTGCGTGGAAGACGAATCACCTTGTCACGTCAAGATTTGGCCGCTATTTTGGGGTGTATGGATGACGGACGTCCGGTAGATTTGAAGAAGGGGTTTGTTCCCCCGAATAGGAGATGGGATCCCTCGTTGGCCATAGCTAGGTTTGGTCTTGAGTACCAACCTTTTCGATCTACAAGGAAGGAGACCATAGTGGCGAATGTGTTCGAACCTCGTCATCGTCTTATCATTTATATGATGGCTCACAATGTCATCCCAAAGAAGACGGGCCACACGGAGGTCCGCAAGAGCGATATCTATTTTTTGGATTACATGTTCCATAACCGGACATCTCCATATGCTCGAATTTCATTGCCTAACATCATCATCAGCCACATTAGGTCTACGGCGAGGCGTAAGACAACTAGTTTCAAACTATCATTTCCTCGTCTACTGACTTTAATCTTCCGGCGTTTTGAGGTCCAGTTGGAAGGAATGCGGCGGGAGATTGTTCCACCACGGGCTGAGATGACTATCACTACTCTTCGCCGCCTTGGTATTGGCATTCCAGGCCCTGTTCAGGAGCGGAGGCAGAAGGCTAGACATGGTCGGGATGAAGTTGGACCATCTACTGCAGCACCACCTCCTCCTCCACCGCAGACTAATTGGCAGCGACTCTTTGACCATATCGATAACTTTGCTTTCCAGTTAGCTGACGTTAGGAATCATCTAAGCCGAATTGAAGATCATTTGGGCATTCATCCACCACCCAATCGTGATGCAGAGGATGACAATGATGCCGAGGGGGATGACTGACATGGCGCACTGCAGAAGCTAGCTTTATTTGGTGGATTTGCTTGCCTAATTATCTTAACTTGTGGAACTTAAGCTTTTTAACTTCATTTTATTTTTTCCGTTTTTTATTTGGTAGGCACTTGTATTTGGGCAGTGGTTCGTGAATAGTGGCTGATAAGGATCTCAACCATTGACTTGGCGGAAACTTCTTTCTTTTCTTTTCTTCTTTTGTTTCATTTCTTCCCTACACATTGAGGACAATGTGTAATTTAAGTGTGGGGGGAGAAATATGTGTGGTACTTGTGGTTTTAGTTGTGTTTCATATAATTGTTGTGCTTAAATTGTATTTCTTGTGGTTGCTGGCAGGGAGTTTTAGTCCACTTTAAGGGGACACTCTGTCAAAATTTTTCCAAAACCTTATACATATATATGTTATTAACCATAATAAATAAATAAATTTTTTTCACTTATCCTTTTGAAATAAATATATATAGTTTTGAAACTTCTTTTCTCATTCAATTTTGGGAAATGATTTTTATGTGATTATAATTTTTACATCTATAGGAAAGTATATCTAGTAAAGTGGACAAAATTATGCCTACATTTTGCACATTTGATGAAAATTCTTTTTTTTAATCTTATTTTATAAGTTAAGAAATTAATATGGTCAATAAGTGTCATACTTTTCTCATGATTATTCTTAGAGGGAATTTTAGTATATATACACCAAAATAAAAAAGGGTTATTCTACTCCAAATGTTTTTGTACTTAGTAACCGGGAGTTTTCATCTACAAATGTCGACTTTCGCGTAAAACGATACTTAAATTAAGAGTATGAAAAGCAACTTCAGTATGTAAAATGTTGAGTAACCGGTGATTTTCATCTAAAAATATCTACATTCGCATCAATTGTAAACAGTAAAAAACGCAAGATTTATATAATTTTTTTAAATAGCATTGCGTTATGAAAATTCTAAAATTACAATAAAAAAATTGTTATAGATATTAATGACTATTAATTATTACATTTTTATAACTAATATTCATGGGTGTCAACAAATAAATACGATTCATTAATAACAAAGGAAAATTAGAATTTGATAAATAAATTTATTTCATAAAAAGGGATCAAAAGTTAGTACATTTAATTGTACATTTTTTTAGAGCTCGTAAATTTCATTTTAAATTTTTTTTTCTACCAAGTTTGAATTTATTTTTCTAAAAGTCATACTTATAAATGCGAAATCTAACACAAAAATTAAATACAATTTTTGGAGGTCAAACTTATCAAATGCGAGCTATTTGAAAAATTTTTTAAAAAAACATTTAGGACCTCGCACTTAGTAAAAGATCCAAAACATACTTGCGTTGGGACACAACAATGCCCTTCTTGGACCGAGCTACCTCCATCCCTAAGAAATATCGTAGTGTTCCCAAATCTTTGATTTCAAAGCTAGAAGCAAGACTTTTCTTCAGCCGTTCCATCTCAATTAAGTCATCTCCTGTGAGGATGATATCATCCACGTACACAATAAGTACTGCTATCTTCCCGTCCTTGGAGTGTTTAACAAACATGGTGTGATCACTCTGAGCTTGGGTATAGCCTTGATTCTTTACCGACCTAGTAAATTTTTCAAACCAGGCCCTAGGAGATTGTTTGAGACCATATAACGATTTTCTTAGCTTGCAAACTCTAGACTGAAACTTCCCTTCAAATCCAGGGGGAGACTCCATGTACACCTCTTCCTCCAGATCACCATTTAAAAATGCATTCTTGACATCAAGTTGTTGGAGCGGCCAATCAAGGTTTACTGCTATTGAGAGAAGCACCCTAACAGTGTTTAATTTTGCCACTGGAGCAAAAGTTTCAAGATAATCGATCCCGTAGGTTTGAGTGAACCCTTTAGCCACCAATCGAGCTTTGTACCGTTCCAATGTCCCATCGGAATTATACTTGATGGTAAAGACCCATTTACATCCTACTGTCCTTTTCCCTTGTGGCAGGTTTGTTACTTCCCATGTTTGATTCTTCTCAAGAGCATACATCTCTTCTTCAATAGCCTTTCTCCACTCTGGAACTTGTAATGCTTCCTGTACATTCTTTGGAATTTCCACAGAAGAAAGCTGTGAAGTAAATGTCAAGAAGGTAGGGGATAACTTTTCATAAGAGACATAGTTAGTCATAGGGTGTTTGGTACAAGAACGCACTCCCTTTCGAAGTGCAATAGGAAGATCCAAATCAGCAATCTTTGAATCAGAGGAAACTTTATCTAATGACTCAAAAACATTAAATTATGTCCTAGGTTCGGATTCCTTGTCGTGAAGAGAAGGGGGAGCTTTATCTTTTCCTCGATGATTTTTCCGGACATAGGTTTTCAAGGTTTTTTCAGTTACATTCCCATCTCTTTCACTAAGAGAATTCGACTCTGTTATTGGCACTAAAGACAAGAGATCCTCTTCTAATCCCTGATCAATTTTTTCACGTTTTTCAAAATCCTTTTGACGGGCAAATTGAAGAGTGTCATTTGTTTTTTCAGGATTATTATCTTGAAAAGATTCTTGTTGAGGAAATTGTGCTGCTGCAGATTCTTCTAAAAAATCAGAAAAATCAATTCTCCTATCAACAAAATTTTGATCAGGAATTTGATTTTCAATACGAAAAACATCATCATCTTCTACAAGTTCTTCTACATGCGAGTCCCCCCCCCTGAAGAGGATCTCCAAAGAAAGGTTTATCTTAAAAAAATGTTACATCCATGGTTACAAACATTTTTTCGAAATGGGGTCAAAGCATTTATACCCCTTTTGCGTGGGTGCATATCCAACAAAAATGCATTTTCTTGCTCGAGGGTCTAACTTACTTCGACCTTGTTCATGATTGTGAACAAAGGATATGCACCCAAACACCTTTAATGAGACTTCATATGTTAATCGAGACATGGGATAAATGGTTTTGAAAAAATTCAGAGGAGTTTGGAAATTCAAGGTTCTTGAGGGCATTCTATTTATGAGATATGTAGCAGTTAAAATTGCTTCGCCCATAGATATTTAGGAACATTTCTTGAAAAAAGTAATGCCCTCGCCACTTCTAAAAGATGTTTATTTTTTCTTTCAGCTACCCCATTCTGTTGTGGGGTATCATTGCAGGAGCTTTGATGCACAATCCCTTTTTCAAGAAAAAAACTTCCCAAAATTTTATTGAAATATTCTTTTCCATTGTCACTCCGAACAATTTTGACTTTTTCTTGAAATTGTGTCAAAACCATGCTGTAGAATTTTTGAAACACACTTGCAACCTCTGATTTCTCTCTTAACAAATACACCCAACAAACTCTTGTGTGATCATCGATGAATGTAACAAACCATTTTTTTCCAGATGAAGTTGAAATTCTAGAGGGACCCCAAACATCAGTATGTAATAGAAAAAACGGTTTTGAGGGCTGATAAGGATGTATAGAAAATGTAGACCGATGATGTTTAGCCAATTCGCAGATTTCACATTGAAAAGAAGATGAATCTTTATTCTTAAACAAATCTGGAAATAAGTATTTCATGTAATAAAAACTAGGATGTCCTAGTCTAAAGTGCCATAACATAATCTCTTTATTACTAGTAATAGAGACAGACCCGTAACATGTGTTTTTGATTGGTGTTGTCATATCTGATCCATCTTCAAGGAAGTAAAGTCCCCCATTTTCTCTAGCACATCCAATCATCCTCCCCGTGGTCAGTTCCTGAAACTCACAAAAAGAGGGGAAAAAATTAATCCGACACATGAGATCCCTAGTTAATTTACTTATGGACAGCAAATTGCATGATAACTTTGGAACATGAAGAACTCTATGAAGTGTTAGAGTAGGAGAGATGACAACGGAACCTATGCCAGCTATGACGGATAATGATCCGTCAGCAACCTTGACCCTTTTATTGCCTGCACATGGACTGTAGGTAGAAAATAATTGTGACACACTAGTCATATGGTCAGTGGCCCCAGAATCAATAACCCATATAACCCGTGGACAAGATGCATTTGATGTTTTACATGAAAGAGCAATAGTAAAAGGTTTACCATTTTTAGCAAAAGAACAGAAAGGAGTGAAGCTTTTTGGCTCAGTGACTGAAAATTGTGGAGACTTAAAGAGTTTGTACAGTTGGCTTAATTGTTCCTTTGTGAAGGCTGGTGTCTCAAAGTCAGTTTGTTGCTTTTGAGAATCCTCATTCACAGTCTGCAACACCTTGCTATCACCTCCATTTTTCTTCTTGAAATTCGATGGTTTCCCATGTAATTTCCAGCATGTGTCCTTTGTGTGCCACGACTTTTTACAGTGTTCACACCAAGGCTTCCTTCTTTTATCCCCGTCCAAATCTGTCCCCTTAGAAACCAATGCTGAAGTCTCAACTTCATCCTCTGCCTTGGACTTTGGTGATGACTTCAGCATCACCTTACGCCTTGATTCTTCTCTTCTGACTTCAAAAATACTTCACGAATGGAGGGGAGAGGCTTCCTGCCCAAAATACGACCTCGCACCTCATCGAGTTCTTGATTTAGTCCAGCCAAGAAGACATAGACTCTGTCGTTCTCCTCCCGTTTCTTGTATCGAACACTGTCTGCACGGCAGTCCCATTCATCCTCATAACAAAGATCCAATTCCTGCCATAAAGTTACCATCTGATTGTAATAGGTTGTAACATCTCTATCTTCTTGTCTTGATTTCCACAATTTCGTCTTGAGATTGAAAATTTGAGACGAATTCTCTATATCGGAATACATATCCCGGACAGCGTCCCACACATCCTTGGCTGTGGGCAGAAATAAGTGTGGCTTTCCTATTGCTGGTTCCATAGAGTTTATCAACCAAGCGATAACTAGAGAGTTCTCTGAATGCCATCTCTTCAAATTGGGATCTTCAGCAGCTGGTTGTTGAATTTCTCCAGTAAGGTGGCCGAGTTTACCTCTGCCATCAATAGCCAGCTTTACAGATTGAGCCCATTCCAGATAATTGGAACCATTTAATTTATGAACGGTTATTTGTAGGGAAGAAGAATTTGAAGCGGAGTAATCTGTAGTTTGGATAACTACTGAAGACGAGGATGAGTCTTCTCTTGTGTGAGCAGTCGATCCAGTCATGGCTGCTCGGTAGTTCATGGCAGGAATTGGTACAGAGCCGGAGCTCTGATACCATGTAAACTTTAACAGAAAAGGAAAAAATGAACAAAAAACTCTCCTTTTCTTTATTTTCCCACTAACTAAATATGCTTACAAGGTAGGCATATATAGGACAACCCTATCATAGTTCTGCCACCACTTAAGGTAATAGAACCATGATTTTAGGGATTACATAATCAACTCATATCCTATCTATTCAAACTTGATTGATCATAAGCAATAAAATCCCATAATTATGGGAGGTAATTATGGAAGATAATATCTCCCATAATCATAGGAGATAATATCTTCGACACTTTCCTTACAGGGAACCACTTTTGGGAATTGTGACTTTGAAGCATGAGTTGAGCTAGTTTAGATTTTGTATAGCTCCTCAATGGTTGGAAACCCTAATTGTACTTGTTCTTTTGAAAACGAAGCCCTAATTGTACTTTTGTGTAGTATGAATACCTCGGATTGCACTGTATCTGAATTTGTTCAAGACTCCAATGTAAATATTTGTAGTTTTCGTTTGTTCATTTTCTTTGGATCTTACGTACTATGTTGGGTTTGTGTGAATCGACTCCGTAGTCCTGGTGAGAGTTGGGCAGGCGGTCCGCCGAACCCTTTGGTTCGCCTTAGGGTGAGTTGGGGCTGTCACAGGTGGTATCAGAGACACTTCGCGTGGTCTCTGCGCGGAGAGAGCTTGGGCCAAGTGGTGTTATGGTCCTGCTTTCGTGAATGCCTTAAAAGGTATAAGTGCACTTTTAAGCGTAAGCTATGAACCGTGCATGTCATAAGTGTAAGGATCATTACCATGAGACTTGAGGAAGCTAGGTATGTATGTCGGGTAGGAATCTTTAATATGGATGATTTACGCTTGGACCGGCCGGCTCGAGTTGTGAATCATCTTAGATGGGATTCTTGCCCCCGGATACGAAAGAGATGAGAGCCTAGGTTAGACAGGATTGGGTGAACTAGAAAGGCGATTCTATGGAACTTCGTGTGGTTTGTTCGGGTGTGGTTAAGCGTGATCAACCTTGATTAAGATATAAATGGTGTTGTTCTCGTAGATTATGGACGGAGCCCTAGAGGGGAAAAGCTTTTCGTGAGTTCTTTTGTACTCGTGACCTAGTCTGTCTATAGTACTTTTAGAGGACCCCTTTTTGTTTCATGGGATGACTTTGTATGTTCTTGACTGACTGTTCTGTATAATTGCTTGATCCTGTTATGTGTTCTATGTATATGTGTTATGTGTTTAAATGCTCTACGAGGTAGTTGTTTTAGTTAATTGTTCTTGTTTAATTGTTCCTGTTTAGTGCTACGAAAGGGAGGGTTAGGTGCCCTTTAACAGTATATTTATTTGTGACCTAGATTGACTTAGATTGATGGAAGGCACTCGTAGTGGACGGGCCGTGGGCGTGGAATTAGGCAACCCACATCTGAAAGGGGCACTGGGGAAACCTCATATGGACCAAATCCTGAACCTAGGGTTGACCCCAACGTCCAAATAGCGGCTGCCATGCAGCAAATGACTGAATTTGTAACGACCCCACCTCCCCCTAAGGCGTACCAGAGGGTTCGGCGGGCCGCCTGCCCAGCTCTCGCCGGGACTCAGTCGTTCTTTAATCAAATCCAGAAAAAATCACAAGAATAAATAGGGCAGCAATCCAAACTTAAAGTGGAACTTATATACATTGCTATCTCAAAAGGAAGTACAACCATCAAATGTACAAGTACAACCATCAAATGTACAAAGGTTCTCACTTCACCATACAACTAGCCCGTGCCAAGCACTAGGGCGAGAACCATTACAAAAGAAACAAAAGACCTAGACTAGGCTAGTCTATGCTCTCATCCTGCTCGCCGTCCCCTGTTAAGGAAAACAAAACTAAAGGGGTGAGCTAAAAGCTCAGTGAGGTTCCAAACAGATAATCAACAATCAATTCAATACATTAAACATGGAGTATCAATAATTCAAGAAACATTTACAATGGAAAGCAATAGTAACATTCATTAAAAGGATACGGCTCACAAGGAGCAATTCGTTCATTCGTTCATTCGTTCTCCTGACATTTCCCCTTATTCCTCCAATCATTTGAAAATGCATTTTTCGTTTATCAATAAACCCTCGTTCGTTCGTTCGTTCGTTCATTCATTCATTCACCCCGTCCTGGCCGTTGGCAGTCTCCACCAACCTACAGGGTAATACTCGAGTATACCAAACGTTCACCAAGTCCCTAATCGCCCGACCGAGTCCGCTTCTGGCTCGAACGACGGCGTAACAAGGGGCAATGGCCAGTTCAGCCAAAAAGGCTTACATTCATGCCGCAAGTAACATTTCAATCATTAAATCCTTGAAAATTACACAGTTATTTAGGTCGAATGCGATAAAGTACACACTCGCCTAGAAACTCGTTTTGGAAATCATTAAAAGCAATTAACACATTAGCAAATGATAACAACAAGCCATAAAGTCAAATAAGGAACACTCACCTAGATATGCAAAATAACGTGCAAAATATCCTTCCGGATATTACCCTTAGTCACCAATGAAACCTAAGGTTGAACAAGAGACATATTACAGTTTATCGAGCAAACATTTAAGGGAAACAAAGAAACCCGACTAATTAGGAGTAAAACGTGTAAAGATGGCTTTCAAGAAAGAAGAGGGTTGTTTGAACCCCAGGATGAAAAATCATGTGTTTTAAATGGAAAACCGGTCATGGTATTGGCCAAACGAAAGTATACAAGTTCAAATAGAAACCTAGCCTCGAGCGAAAATTTGGGCAGCACGCCCTTTATGTTTACCTAATTTTCCAGCCATTTTGGCTTCATTATTTTACCTCAACCACAACCCAGCATCACACATAAGCAATTCAAGTCAAGAGCCGTTCCATAGGCTCACAATATCATAAGAATAAGAAATACAGTAATAACAAGTGCAGAAATTCAATTAGCAAAAGACAGATTTGACATATGAAAGCGGAAATAACTACCCGAGGCTACGCTTATCAGATTAAGACGTAACCTATGCCGTTTCGAAGCTAAGACTCAGGCTACAATGTTTATGAAGGTCACTTAGTCCAGTTTCTAATGTAACTTGGTCAAATTCTCGAATTACTAAACCAGAAACCAATTCATCGGCTGTTTAAACGCAGAACACTGTAATGGACATAACTCAGAGTACACAAGTCCGAATCAGGTGTTCTTAGAGGCATTTGAAAGCTAATTCAGAATTCTACAACTTTTATGTTTTGGCAAAACACTAAATCAGAATGGATCCTAGTCAAAAAATGGATAAACTGGACTTAACTGATCACACGGACTGCTTAGGAAATACTTAAAACAGTAAGGGTATTTTGGACTTTTCACGTCCTATGTTACTCTGATTAAGCTGAAAATTTGTAGGAACCCATAAAATACCATTCCTAACAGCTTTTCTTCTTTGACCTAAGGCCAAATCGACCTCTAACATACAGATATAAATTCGGACAGAAAGTTGGGGAAATTTTCCAGATTCTGGAATTTTGAGTTTCTAGTGCAACTTTCCTTAATTTCTTGGTCTAATCCCTACCGCAACACCTTATAAAACTTCAATTGCAACATATAAGCATCATACAACAAATTGGGCAGAATTTCCCCAACCCTAGTTCATGAAATAAAAAGGGGAAAACTACTAAAACATGATAGTCATCCATGATTCCACCACAAAATCAAGTTGCTAAGCTTAATTACAAGATTGAAAGTAAAACTTGGAGAGATAAGCTCTCTTACCTTGACTAGAGGTCACTAAGAGTAGCCCAAGCTTTCTCCTTCAAAAACTCACCACAACTCACTAACTAGTCACTCAAGAACAAGTTTAATCGGTTTATTTTGTTTGATTTCTTCCTAAGTTGTTGGATTGAAGATGAAATGAAATGTTTCCTTTGGTGTTTTCCCTCTTCTCTCTCTCAGCCAGCAGCAGCAGAAATAAGGGGTAAAATGCTGAATTTGGTGCTTAAATGGAATAATTGTCTTGGCAAGAAGCCTTAAGGTGGCGACAAGTGTCGCCACCACCACCTTTCTTTCTTTTCTCTTTCTCTTGTTATTTCCTAGCCTCACATTCGGCTCAAGCTTGTTGCCAAGAGAGAAGATATTTTGCTCAAGTTCAATAAATTTGTTTGGTAAGGAAAAATGGTGGTCAAGCAGTGCGTTCAATCGGTAGTGCGCGGGACCCGCCGGTTCGCGCCGTTTTTCTTAAAAACTCACGTACTAGGGTTTTTACTTCCCATTCACTAACTCTATATCATTGCCACTAGTCACATATTATTTCTCACTT